CACTTTGTTTACCTTCCATCGGGAACATTCGAAAATTTCCTAGCTCCATACCCAGAAGTTCAACTTTATTCGTTAAAGCACCGTTAATCATCTATTTCTATCCTTATTTTACTTTGTATATACGGGTCAGCTAGTTCTATTCCACCTAACAATGTTTATAATAAAAACAGAGAACTGCATTTTGTCTCTTGTTTTTTGTTTTATTTTCTACTTTGACATATCATTTGTGTTTTCACTCTTTCTGTTAATTTAACATCTCTCACATGTAAAGAGTCATATTTTTGTTTCTAAGATTTGCTTTCTGCTCTTCTTGAAAATGAATGTTGTCTCATTCTAACGTTGAAAAATCAAAATTTTAAATAATCAATAAATTATTAAAAATATGAAATTAAAATTAGCTGCTATGATCATATGTATTATTTTACAATAGGTCATATGTTCAATGAGAGAATACTTTTTTGCTATAAGAAAAGAAAAGAATTAGTACAAGAAGGTGAAAATTATATAATCGTATGAAATATGTTAACGGTATCGACATTGTAAATAATCGATTTATTTTTAATTCAAATTAAAAAGGTACGTTAATAATGATAATAAACATTGACTGGATGATCCCTAGAAAATTTTCGAATGTTCCCGATGGAAGGTAAACAAAGTGAGTAAGTCAGTACTACTGATTAAGTCAACTATCAATAGAATGAATATATCACGATATACAAGAAATGACGATGAATGGCGTTAAAAAATACTGAATTATTTTTGATAAGAAAATCTCCTCATGGATAGGTAATAAGGGTATTTCAAAGTAATAACAGGTGTGTTAGAAGAATTATAAACTGTGACAATAAGAGTAATAATCGTTTGTGTTTTCTCTTTCGCATTGTACGTACAGATAATTTCTCTTTCCTTATTTACGTATTTACATCCCTCATAATCATCATAATATTTATAAAAACAACTATGTGATCATAAACAGTATACATACACTCCTACCTTTGGTCTATAATTTTTTGTCAAACGAGGCTAAACAAAAGAATACGATTCTATAAACAACTACGGGTCTCTTAATTCACAATTTTTCTACATTCAACTGTGCTCATTTTTTAGTAAAATATATTTTAATTAGAAAATGTTAAATCAATTTACCGAAGGTCCTAACGTAAGACAGCAACGGAATTCCATGACACATAGTATATTGTCATCCGATCAAGAAGATAGTGGAAATGGAACAAATTTTGAAGGAGTATCAGATAACGATGCACATCCAGATAGAGATCCAACGGTTGATATGGGTAAATTGATTTTATCTTATTACTATGCTTGATCGTATCGCCGAGAAAGAAAGTACATTAACTTGCATGCTGTAACCTAACGCTTATCTCTCCATATAAACCGATAGACTTGACTACTATTGCACTTCCAAAATTGAAATCTTTCCCGTAAACACCCGTTTTTTTTCTGCCAAACTTCAGATAAATGTCCATATTTCGCATTCTTGATCTATTATCGATTGTTGAAAATAAAAAAATGTCTGATATACTTACAGTTCTGATGGCATCTTTACTATTCTTATTGTTGTGAACAATTTTGTATTTATACTTGCGATTCTGTCTTTCAAACAATTTATCAAAATATAATGTGTCTCTGTATCAGCGTTAGATAATAAAAATGATTATTGTATATATTTTTTCAAAGATGTTTATTGTTTTATGTATGACTTTATTTCATTTGGTTCTAGTTCAACGACCTGTCTTTGAAGGCATTCGTATGGATCTTGTACGATCAAAAAATCCATGGTTACGATTATTTGCTGAATGCGTTAGCGAATTATTAGGCACAATGATACTTGTTTTAGTTGGTTGTAGTGGTATTGCACAATATGTTCTAAGTCGAGGAGTATTAAGTAGTTTTTTATCGGTAAATTTTGCATTTGGATTTGGAGCATTAATTGCTGTCTACGTTGCGGGACCTGTGTCCGGTAAAACAGAAAAGAATAAAGAATAAACAAAAATTTCATTCTTGATTGTTATCTAGGTGCACATATTAATCCTGCCGTTTCAATTGCAATGCTTAGTTTAAGATCAATTACACCACTTCAATGTTTAACCTATGTTATATCGCGTAAGTTTGAGAGAAAAATGTCTAATCTCTATAGATTTTTATGTTTGAGATATATTTTAGAATTTATTGGAGCATTTCTTGGTGCTGCTTTAGTGTTTGGAGCATATTTTGATGCAATAAACAGATTTGATGATGGACATAGACAAGTTAGCATTCACCTTTCTAACTTATTAGGTTACTGATAATCAATTTAGGTTACTCAATTTAGGTTACTGGTAATCAAGCAACAGCTGGTATATTTGGTACATATCCTGCTCAAGGTGTCAGTCAAATAACATTATTTTTTGATCAAGTACTGTCAACGGGCTTATTATTAATTTCATTGTGTGCGCTGAGTAATAAACGTAATAAATTAGTGGCAAATTCATTAATACCAATAGCGGTAGCATTTACTATAATTTCAATTGGAGTAGGATTTGGTACGTAATACTACATAACAATTCTGATTATTAAATATTAAAACAAACTGTTCAGTATTTGTCTTTTGAAACAAATTAGAATTTTTCTATGAAATTGTAGATATTAATAATTCCTATAAAAATTAAGATTTTCAAAAAAAAAAGATATCGAATAATGTTAGACATCAATCGCTTATTTTTGTTTTTTCTAGGATTCAATTGTGGGTAAGTGAATATGTACAAAATATCTTTTTACACGAACATCGAGAAACTAAAATTTCTTTTCATTCTAGATTTCCCATAAATCCTGCACGTGATTTTGGGCCTCGTATATTTACGTTGTGTGTAGGTTATGGCTCAGAGGTGTTTAGTGTTGGTAATTATTATTTTTGGATTCCTCTTATTGGTCCAATATTTGGTGCATTAATCGGGGCATGGATTTATCATGGATACAGTAAATTAATGAAAATACATATTGGAGAAGATGATAAGCAAATACAACATGCAAGATATCAAATCGATCAATTTAATACAACACGAATGTAATACCTGATAGAATTTTACTGAACGCTGGATTTTTTTTCATAGAAATTCGAATGTTTTTATTCATAATATTAACCTTCCATTTGTTTTACTTTTTCTATTTCATGAATTCGTTCTGTATATAAACTCTTACTGATTCTTATTCATATCGAGTTACCATAATCCATATCAGATCAGTAGTTTTTTAATATATATATATATATATTTATATTATTGTGAGAATCATAAGAGTAAGACTGTTTAAGCATTACACTGTTTTATTCTTTTCCTTAAATACTCATCATCTCAATATTCATACTTTTAATTGATATTATTAGTAAAAATAGAGGTTAATTTGTCCTGACGAACAATGATAAACAAAAAACATTAACATGAAATTAGAACAAGGATTTGATTTCAACAATTAATTCTATTTGATATCTACCACACTTACGACAAATGTGTTCAGATTGTTAGATGTGTCACAGAATATGACCGATGACCTGATAACCTGATAACCCGATGACCTGATAACCTCGATGCTTTTTGACTTGTGCTATCTCCATTTTACAAAAAAATAATTGATTTACCAGGCAAGCTTGTTTTCATAGAGAAACACGATTTTCGCAAATTTTTGGAGCCTTTCTTAACACACTGGAACTTTCTGCTTTATAATACGAAAACGAGTTCATTTATAACGTCATCCTTTTCTTTTCATTTCTCTTGACTCTACTCAGTTGCTACTTCTCATTTCTTATTTTAACAAGAAACTGGTGTCACCTGTCCTCAACGCCAATGGACTACTGTTCTACCTAGAATGCACAGTGGACAATTTTGAACAGGCACGTGGACTGTCCGCGTGCCTATTCAAAATTGTATCGCTTTTATGGCGCATGTCCACCGTGGACATGCACCATAAAAGCGATACGAAAGCCTCTAAACACTATTTTTATAGATTTTCGTACGCGCTCTTTCCAATGGTGGGGTTTACAAGTTCAAAGATGTTTTTATCAGGGTTTTCCAGAGATCCGCTCTATGAAAAACCCGACTAAAAGTTTTTGAGAATCACATCATTGGAAAGAGCGCCTACGAAAACCGCGTTCGTAAAGTCCGAAAGTTTTTGTAGGCTTTTAAATGCTTCTAAATCAAAAATCCTAGTACGTAGTCAAAATTGCTACGGGAATGCTGCAAATCTCTCATTTCATTAAATCAAACGATTTTTTGCGCATAAAAACATGACTGACATATCATTCGTTGCATTTAGGTGCGTTGATTCTAAATATATCATTAGTTTTTAATAAAAATGCTTCTGGCGTGAGAAAAATGGATTTCATCTGAAAAGCCAAGATTTTATGGAAAACCTGTAAGGCCAGGACCATTTACGCATCTTTAAGCTACCTGTAAAGATGTATCACAAGTAGAAGGATATTCTGTGAAAGTTTCATTGGAGTTTCGCTAAAGTTCGCGTACTCATTAGACCAAACACTTCCTTTCAGACAACACTTAGCACAGATAGAAAAATTATTTTTTGCGACGTCAAAAGGCCAAAACAAAACTTTTTTGTACGATTCGATAGAGGATGAAGTCTAGTTTCAGAATAAGTATAATTTGTTTGAGAACACTTTGCACGTTCCAGAAAAGATCTTATTCTTGGGTGATTATCATAGTATATTTGACACTATTCAAATCTAGAAACATCTCACTTTCGTTTTTTCACCTAATATTTACACGATTACCCACTGTGGAATGGATACTTCTCATGGAATTAATACAAAATTCGTTTAGCTTCTATCTCTAACTGCACCCACTCCAATATTTATAACTCTTTTTAACATTGTATGCGTCGTTAGTTCATCAAATTTATCATATTCTGTGATACATCTAACAGTCTGAACACACTTGCCGCAAGTGTGATAAATACCGAATAAAACTAGCCACAAGCAAACAATGGAATGTTCGTGAGTCTGAAAAAAGCTTTTTTACATAGCTGATAATCATATCTAATGTTAATGCCATACTACACTGATATAATTGTCATTTCTACTAGGAATGTGTCTGATAATCAGAGAAAAAAAATAACATTTTAACATTCTCATTTGTCTCACGTTTCTTGCATCAAACAATAAGAAGAAATATAAAACGTCAGTATTTGTTAGTCTTATCTAAACAGTCTTAGAAGACATTAGCGAATAATATCAAGAAATTTATTTAATATATATTTACACAGACATATAAAGAAGAAATACTGACCCCTAGTTGGTCGAATAGCACTATTTGACGGTTAAGTTTGTTTGATGAGTATTAAGAATTAAAAAAAAAAATACTAATAATATTTAGAAAAGCATTGATCAATAATTGACTTCTATTCGTCTATATGAAAGCATTTTTTTTATTAAATTTATTTAGTAACATTATAATTATTGATATTTCGGAGCATTGAGAAACCTGGACATTTTACCATAAATATTATCTTTTGGCATAATTTATGATAGTTTTACCTTTTCTCACTACTTAGACAACAACAGGTAAGAGATAATATGTTTCAACCAGTAGCATTCTATAAATAATGAGAATAATACTAAGAAAAAAAGTAAGCTATTAGATTAAAATAATAAAATTTCATTTGATTAATGAAGGACATTAAATAGATTACGAGCATCTTATCAGCAAACGTTTTTCAATATATTATCATGTAATTCTTTGTTAAAAGATACAAAGAAGAAAGAAATACCACTTTTCTTAAAATTCAACGGTATCTAATTAACAAGAGCGTCTTCACTTCAATAAGATCACTATTCAAATTTTGCTACGTTAGATGAGTCTTGACGGACTCTCTCATATTTTAAACCTACATAGGTTGTTATATGTTTATGTTTGTTAGGTAAAACGTTACTAATCTCATTTTGGATGGTGATATTTTATTTTTAAAAATGAAAAAAACAAAGACAAAAATTAGCATATGTGCCTGATATTTTTCATGCAAATTTTATTTTCAAAATGAAAATATCACAAATTTAAATAAGCTTAGACGACTATCATTTAAAGTCTCATTTTTAAATTTTTGGATACATTATTTCTGGTAAATTATCAAGGTATGTGATAATCAAGTAGAATCTCTATATTAAGTTTGAAAAAATCTAGGATATCGTTAAGACGTTTTTTTTTTCCATGAATGTAAGACATTTAGAACGATCAAAATCTTTCAATGTAGAACAAAAGGAATAAGGTAGACAGAGTCATCATAATTCTGTATGCAATGAGAAGTTTTAATTTTTTATCTTTACCGTTGTACAGAAATTTTTAAAAATAAAAATTCTTAATACATATTTTCATATGTATTGCTAGTAAAATGTGAAGGAATGATTTAATTTACAGCCACTCTATTCCATTTTATTTTTAGGATATAATTAAAAATGAAACGCGACGAATTAAAAGAGTATGCTCGTCAATGCATAGCAGAGTTATTTGGAACAATGGTATTAATATTCATTGGAAATGGAAGTGTTGCTCAAAATAAATTTACTGATCCAGCATCAAGATCGACATTATCAATTAATATTGCCTTTGGTATTGGAGTTTATGCTGGAATTATGGTAGCAGGTCATATATCAGGTAATATTACTATATATTTTTTATTATAATACGTTGATCTTATTCGTTTTTTATTCACTATAGGAGCTCATTTGAATCCTGCTGTTTCAATTGCATTACTAACATTGCGTAAAATAAATCCAATACAATGTTTATTCTACATTGTTGGTCAAATGATTGGAGCATTCTTAGGTTGTCTATTGGTATTTATAGTTTATATTAATTTATTCAATAATTTTGATAATGGTCACAGAGAAGTACTCGGTGATAAACAGACAGCCGATATATTTGTAACCTTTCCAAGTGATGGTGTTGAAAATTGGAATGCCTTTTTGGATCAAATTGCATCTACAGCATTATTACTTATATTTATCATGGCAGTTGGTAATCAAAAAAATCAATCAATGTCAAAAGCAGCAACACCATTTGCAGTCGCATTGATTATTATAGCTCTTGGAACAGCATATGGAAAAAATTGTGGTTATCCATTAAATCCAGTAGGTTTGAAAAACATGATAGTTGCTCTAACTTATATTCCCTTTTTTAGGCACGTGATTTTGGTTCTCGCTTGTTTGCATTATGTGTCTATGGCGCAAAAATATTTCAAGTAAAACAATATTATTTTTGGGTTCCAGTGTTTGGTCCGATTATTGGTGCAATATTTGGTGTATGGATTTACGAAGGTTACTCTAAGATAACAAATATGGATGGTAGAAGACAACATGAACTATCGACACCCACAGCAAAGTCACCAGTGTATGAAACGCAATTATCAACGGAAAGTAAGTAATACCACATGAAATACTAAATTAAGAGTTTAAGTCTACACATGAACATGAACCCTTTGTTTTGAGAAAGTGACGATATTTTTGTAGAAGATATTAGTAACTTTTCTTTCTTCACAGTTAAACGTTTAGTGGAGACGCCTCTCTAATTCCAAAAAGAAAAAGAAAACAGTAGAATGGATTGGTGCGTATAGCTATAACTGCTCAGAATGTTCATATTTTTATTATAAAAAAAATATTCCAATATCACATTGATCGAACTAAAGCATCAAAATCTCTTTCGAATGCTAGATTGATCGCAATAAACTGACGAAAAACACAATAATCTCTGCTTAAGACTTTTGTAAAAGTCGGCTTTCGTACTACAGTTAGAAAGGTACGTAAGGTGGTCAAAAAGTTTTGTCAGTTTAAAAAAAGACACCGTTGTTCAACCCCAAACCTCGATTTTTATACGATAATTTAGAAAGCTCACACTCTAGCGGATAAGAACCTGTCATCAGAATATCTTCAAGTCTTTTCCTTTCAGAGCTTTTCTCAAGATGTTCAGACAGTTAGAGGCTTAATAAAACAACTATAACTCGAAAAGTAAAAGATATTTGCGCAAGTGGATATTACTACTGGATTCAACAAACTTTTCTCTACAAAATGACGTTGATTAAAGATCTTCATTTCAATGTGATAGATTAGTCAAATTTCATTGAAGAACTTCGCTTTTTATTATGCGAACCTCTGCCTATTCGGGCATCTTGATGAGAAAAACTCAATTTTTTTCTGAAAGAAAAGGTATTAGAGATACCTGATGACAAATTTTTATCCGCTAGAGTGTGGGCTTCTGATACAGAAGTCTCGGTTGCGGGTGCAATTTTCAAACAACGGCATTTTTTTTCAAAATGACAGAACTTGTTGACGACCGTATATCTCATCTTGTTTATTGAGCATTCTCATTTTAAGATTGAGGCTGTTGATCTTTTCTCTCTCCCTCTCTCTCACTTATAATACTATACATATATCCATACTCGTTACTGCCCGAATTCCGCATATTTTTAATTAATTTCAAATTGAGATCAAAGAATCTTCAGAGTCGGTGTGTGGGTGGGTGGTTGGATGAAAGTATGCGGCGTTTGGGCATGCTCTATACTATATGATATCATTACAGCTATATTTTAGCAATGCTTGCATGAAAAGTTGCATGGCAAGAATGTGTGTTAAAATTATGTTTCTCGGTGACTCAATTCAAGTTATTAAAGCAGTAAAATGACATAATATTTCTTTTTGTCTCGCCTAGCGATAGTATATCTGTATTGTATATAATTTTCTGTACATTTTATCTTTTAGGATCATATTGTGAGATATCGCTTTCTAAATAGCTGTGAGCTACATATGTATATATAAATATTTTACAGGCGAAGAACATGGTAGAAAAAAGTGAAAAATATGTTTTAATTCTACTCTTTGGCGTTTTCTTCTGGATTTTTTCCGCTGCTGTTTATTTCCAATTTTTTGTTATGGCTGTTGTTTTATTTTTAATCAAACTGTGTATCAATGTTTCCTTAATGTACGTTTTTTTATCAGAACTCAATGGTGAAATGCTGAAAGGTATTCAACTTTAAACTGAATAGTTAAATCACTAAATTTATCCTGACTCGTTATCAATTGTACTCCTTTGCCAGGTATCCGTTTTTTATGCTCCGGTCCAAATTTAAAGCCTTAAGAATAAAACTAATTTCATATAATAATGAATACTAACTATAAGCGTTACTTTCGTTCTATAAATGAGAATACTCCATCGATTTATTTTATTCTGCCAGTCTTTGGCTCATTATTATTGCTCGATGATATTTCTTCAAAATAAAATTGAGTGATTTTATTCTCATCTATACAAATGTTATCAGACGATTTCACTAATAGATATATCTAATTTTCTTCCATCTAAATGCTCAATATGAACTGTTTGTCTAGTTAATGCATGTCCAAGACTAATTTTAGCTGTATGTTAGAATTGTCTCTATAAAAATATTGATACGGTTTATCTTTGACAACAAAAACAAGATCAGACGGCATTGCATTTGGACCTTGATCACCTTTTTGTTCAAATATTATTTTAGAACCCGGTAATAGACAAACTCTTCTCACTATACTCGATGTTAAACCACCGTCATTCATTACCTAATTAAACAAAAATAACAAAGGTCAGCAATAATCCGAATCTGTGTTAAAGAATGTTTGAATAGTACAATATATTTTTAGCAGACGTAATCCTATATGTCTGTTTTTACCCTTCGGTTAATTTTAATCTTTTTAATTGCTTCATGATAACAGTCTTCTAATGATAATAATAAATTTCGGATAATTGATTGATTTTGGTTTTTTCTTCCACCACCGTATAAGACGTCAATACCGAGATTTTGATCTTGTTCGACCGTTACATAAAATTCTGCAAATGGATTATCATCTTCAAAAAAAGTCACGAAAATCTTCTCGGAATATCTATGAAAATTATAATTTACAATCTATTCATTTTTTGTGCCGACGGATACACCTTGTTTTAAACCTTCACCAAAATTGATCATAAACAGCCTGCTTTTGATCTACGAAAGACTGTAGTTGAATGATTCAATGCATGCCCTCTCCGTGAAATACTGAGAATCATTTAATACTTCATAGATAGGCTCCCGTTAATTCATTAAATTTAGTTTGTGAAATCAGTCGATATCTAAATGTATACAACAAAAAAGTTAAGTTTAAATACTTGATAAGAACTTTACATATTTCCCCCAGTCAAAAATCTTGAACCACAATCTTGATTAAAACTTGAAACATTTCTCAAGTTTCTGTTCTATTACTTCGAGATTTTACGCAGATTTTTAGACATCTCTCAAGATTCCGACAACTCTTGTTACGGAATCTGTCTTGTAAAAACTTGATCAACATTTGTAACTAATTCTGAGAAATTTTTAGGATTCGTAAGGTATTATTTTCAGTTATTTTTTATTTTTAGTTATTTTTTCAGTTATTTTTATTTTTTATTTTTTATCTACTGTATTCTATCGCGTTGCCCAGATAAAATCGGACACGTTCATTCGTTGTTTTTGAGGTACTACCAAGTAGTCCTAGAGTTTGTTCTAAGCTCAATCGATAGAGAATTGAATTCTCTACAAAACCTGCTATTTAAATCTCTGATAACATTTTTCTCGTTTGAGCACTATTCAAAATATTAAAGAGTACTGATCGTGAGTTGCCTAACTGTAACACAATGAAAATAGAAAAAGTATTTATCTTGATCGAAAAACAGATTCCATAAGAATTTCGAAAAAATCAGAAGATTCAGCTAAAAATTCTGATATATAAACAAAGTTTCTCAATTGGAACCATTAATTAAAAAAATTGAAAAGCTGGTTGCGAACTAATTATAAGTCCAGCTGCGTAGCAGAAACATTGTATGAAGTTGCAAAGAAGTGAGATCGATAGAGCAGAAAATTCTCTGTCTATCTCTGCAGATAAGTTAATTATTGAACCTCACACTATGGGCTAAAAATCTCAAAAAAGGAGACGACAAAAGCTTGTTGCAATTTGATAACTCAGTACTCTTTTTTCACCAATATTTTCAATGGTGCTCACACAAGAAAAATGTTATCAGAGATTCAAATAGCAGGTTTTGTAGAGAATTCAATTCTCTACCGATTGAGGTTAGAACAAACTCTAGGACTACTTGGCAGCACCTCAAAAACAACGAATGAACGTGTCCGATTTTATCTGGGCGACCGATACAACGCTAACTCTGCAGTATTGTAGTGTACCAATAGTACTGTTCAATTTACAGCTCTTACGATACCGTGCAGATAATACCAGAGCTGTTCAATCAAACGTTATGTCCATATAGTATGACGGACTTGATAATTTTTCATTTATTTACAGTGCGAATAGTGTTTCGTATATATGCATGGGCACTGCAAAACAAACACGGTGATAGCGATAACAACAAGGACAATTTTCTTCATTAAATCTTTTCAAGATCTTGATATAGAATCCTCAAGGTAGTGTTAGACGCGGAGTAGTGGACCCTGATTAAGGTCTTGATCAAGAATTTTCAAGAAGCAGAATCTCTGAAGAACTTGTGTAGATTTTTAATTTCTGCAAGACGTAGACGCTTTGATGTAGCTATCTTTACCGCTTCTTGTCAATTGAATGATGAATATTTGTAAAATGTGAGAACACCCACTAACACCCAAAACAATCATTTAATAGCTGAGCGTTTTAGCACAACAAATATTGTGCACATATTGAACATGTTGTACGTACGTGACTAATAATGCTATTCCACGAGATATTTTAGCATGTGGGACTTTAAAAATAGACGACTCTTTAACGACGAGGTTTTATAAATGCATTAGCAACGCTTCGAACACTTCGATTTTTAGAAAAATCATCACGAAAACAAGTGAAATAAACTAAAACTTTATTTGTTTATGCATTAAAATTGTCATGAAAGTTGGTCTCTTACTAATTGAATTACATGTGTTCCATTGGCAGAAGGACACAATTTAGATAGTCAAATCGAATAAAAAATGTAATATAATAAATAACTTTTCTAAAACTGCAAAGTAGTGGTTTTGTAGAGAATTTCATGGGCTTCTTAATGATCTTTTTATAACTTTTATTAAAAGAATTTCATAAACTACTAAGTCGTTTTCTTCGATCAAAAATCCTAACAATAGGCTCAGAGAGTCATGTAGATCAACTTGACATATTTTTTTGGGTATTAGTATCGCTTTTTTTGAGTGTTAGTAGGTATTTATTTGTAAAAATGGCTAAAGAGCTCAGCTATTAATCATTGTTTTGGGTGTTAGTGGGTGTTCTCACGTTTTACAAATATCCTTGAATGATATGATAATAATCTCTTCCCATGAGTATTTCAAAATATTCACATAGTGGATTCTTTTTCGCGTGTTAAAAACTTGATCAACTTTTGCTCTGATTATGCTATATTTGTATAGAGGGTATACAGATAATATTTGTGAGGCACTAGGATTTTACTCAAGTTTATCTTAACTCTATGAAACATAATCTTAAGTATTGATCAAGACAGCTCTAAAGTTGTATTACATCGATGCTCTAAAACGACGTACTAAAGTCAACTAAACCATGATTTCAGTCGATTTACAAATTCAAGAATACAAGTGTATTGATAAAATGATCACTTGGTCTGTTACATACGAACGAATTTAAGTTGTCTGATTATACCTTCCACTAAAGACCACTGCTATTTACGATACATGACAAACTTCATCGATTGTAATCGTTACTAGGTGACAGCCTCAATTCATTGTGCGCATAAGTGCGTTCATTAGCTTTTTTTCTTCAGTACGCACTGAACAAAAGCGCTTATAAATTTAGTTTTTTAGTTTCTTTTCGAATTGCAATAGTTATACATCGTTTAGCTCTCCTAGTTTCAATTTTCCAACTGGGATAGCAGAACGGTTAATGATTGACAACGGTTTTAAAAAAAAAATCGAATCGAATGCAACACGACAAGTGATTAAGACATTTGGCAAGAGAAGAGATTTTTTTCTTGTGTGTAGAGAAAGTCATAACAAAAATATTTTGTCGTTGTGTAAATTGTTTCATTTTTCCCAAATCGGATCAGTTTGTTCTCGATTTTGTTGTTTTTGTTGATTTATGACGTTAAACTATTCCTTTTTCAGGTAAAATTTTACGTTGGTTACGTGTTATTTTTCAGTCACTATAAAAGCTGCTATTCAAATCGGTACTTAGGATTCTTCCTGAAAAATATAATCAAAGCGAAGACAGTCAATTTCTACTGTTCTTTGCTGCCAGTGCTGTTTTACAGTATTTTACCACTCTGTTCCTCCATAGTTTGAAGTAATCATCATTTTCCTGTCTTTCCTTTTGATGAACTTTCACATGATGTTTTTCGCTGTTCTCCGCACTTTCGCAACTGCCTATAGAAAGGTAGAAGAAAAGGGATGAGAAACGATTTTGTAGTTGGAAGAATAGCAATAGATATAAATTTCTATCTTATGAGAAAAGTAATCAGTTTTCAGGTCATCGTGTTTTCTGTTCAATAATATTTATTTTGTAGAAGTAATTTTCTACATGGGTGTGTAGTGGATTAGTTTTATGTTGTATAAATTCGTGTGTGTATTATTACATCTGAATGACAAGTCCTGATATTATTGACACCGATATTGGTGGTGCAAGCGAATATATCAAGGGTAAGCGATCGTCTGTTTTTCTTGGATATAATCTATTTATTAGTTCTGTCATTTTTCTTAGATCGTGTATATTTTGCCACATTACGTATAAAGCCAAAATCTACCGCACATACTCATTATTTTTCGATTGATGATGAATTTACATACGAAAAGTAACATTTAGAAAGTTCTTGACAATAAAGATGCAACTGATTCATTTATTATTATTTTCTATTTAGTTTTTATGCTGATTTTGGACCACTCAATTTGGCAATATTGTATCGTTATTGCACAAAATTAAACAAAAAACTAAATGTAAATGAACACAAGGGGAAATGTGTACTTGTTTATTAATGTGTTTTTAATTTAAGAGTCCTGCTTTATCGCATAAACGAATTATTCATTATACAACTTTTGATCCAAAGAAACGAGCGAATGCAGCATTTCTTATTTCATCTTATTCGGTATGTAGCTATTTTAATAACGATGGAAGAGATTCCTTTCTTTTTGCTTGACAAAAACTGCCAAAAATTTTGAGGAATAGTGAAGTCACCGATAATCTTTTACTTAGCAAAATTTGTGCAGTTATTATAAGAAATTCGTTTCTCTACCAGAGATATTAGATCGAAAACAATGTTGGTATAATTGTCTACTTTCAGCCCGAAACATATTTCATTTCATCGACAAGTACTATCCTTCTTAACTTACCACATTTTGAGAAAAACCTATATTGAAATACGAACTGATGTTTATCTACGTTTATGTAAGCTAAATTTGACTTTCAATTATGTTCTGATCGCCTGAAGACTTTATAAATATAATATTATCTTCATACCATACAGAGTCTTAGTAATATTTCATCTTAATCAACTTTACAAACTATCAAATCCTATATTTTCTTTTCTTTCTTTAGATTATATATTTAAAACGAACACCCGAAGACGCTTATAAGCCTTTAGTCAGCGGTATAAATGCGACACATCCATTTTTACCATTCAGGTAATGTCTGGGGTTTTTATCATCTGTTAAGAATTCTGTTTTATTTTGTTATTTTAGAGATGCATCGTTGGGTGCGTCATCTTATAATCTCACACTGCTCGATACTTTGCAGGGGTTATATAAAGTAAGTTACATAAAAAATTGTTCTATTCTCATATTGAATACTCATTTTTTTATCTAACAAGGCTATGGTACATGGATTTTTCGATTTTGAACATTTTGATTTGGAAGAATATGAACATTATGAAGTAAGGCTTTTTCAAAAAAGCGCTTATGGTATCGTATCATGATTTAACCGCTTTTCTATTTTTTAAAGAAAGTTGAAAATGGTGATTTAAATTGGATTATTCCACGTAAATTATTAGCATTTTCTGGACCACATCCAAAAAGTAAAATAGAAAATGTAAGTCCATCGTTAATCTTTACTTTTCGATTACTCACTCTGATATGGTTCTATCAAAGGGTTACCCGTTACATGCACCAGAAGCCTACTTGTCTTATTTTCGTAAACGTATGGTGACAACAATCGTTCGTTTAAACAAAAAAATTTATGATGCTAAACGCTTCCAAGATGCCGGCTTTGAACATTATGATTTATTTTTTACTGATGGTAGTACACCAAACAATACAATTATTCTAAGATTTTTACAAATTTCTGAACAAGCAAGAGGCGCTATTGCTGTACATTGTAAAGGTAAGCAAGAAGTTGAACATTCATCATCTTTATACAAAACCAATCAGCTCTTTGGGTACGTTATGTATAAGCTAGTCTATTTTTTGATATATATTTATTATCAGGAAGATCGTACTTTCAGATCTATTCTAAATACCATTTTTTTCCTACCTTTTAGCTGGTTTGGGCAGAACGGGAACATTAATCGGAAGTTATTTAATGAAACATTATAAATTTACAGCAGCAGAAGCGATAGCATGGTTAAGGATATGTCGACCAGGAAGTGTCATCGGTCCACAACAAAATTATCTAGAAGAGTAAGTGTATACACAATGTGTAAACAATGAAATAATATTTTTCTTTTCTGTCTTTTGTTTAGAAAACAGGCGTGGCTTTGGTCGCAAGGCGATGCATTCCGTGTTAAAGATCGTATGCGTTATGTATCATCATTTCAAGAAGGACAAAAATATTCAGTTGGAAATATTGTCGGTGGAGCTGAAAATACGGAAGTATGTTTTTAAACTAAAACAAATTTCTGACAGGCTCACTCAGTTTATTTTGCCGAATTAACTGGAAAGAAAAACAATATGACTTATTTGCAACATCACTTTATGAGTAGATATTTTTAGTGGTGGAGTAACTGTTCCCTTATCTATATTTCTTACATCTGACGTGTGTGAATCTCCGGTTTATCAGAGATTGAACTTCATTTTTCTTTCTTTGTACATTTTAGGAAGAAAACGAAGGCGAGATAACTCAAGGCGATCGATTAAATGAAATAAAAGCTCGTCGAATGCATCATCATCCGCCAACTTGGTCTGGAACAAATGTAACATCGAGTATAACGTATGTATTTCCATTTCATTCATCACTTTTTTCTAAAAATCAGAGAGTCATTGTTTCATTATGATAAGTGCTTCTGTTTTTCTGTGTAAAATACGTTGTGCTACAGTATACGCGCGTTTAGATGTAAAATATGTTCAAAAGCTTTTCAAACCGTAGCTGGTTTCACTAAACATATACGATCGCAACATACAAACTTAAATCAATACGTACAAAAACAAACAATATCATCTCAAGCTATACGTACAGTATCGACAACTGGTACTGCTTCAAAAGAAAAACAACAGCAACCACCAAAAAATGGGTTAAAAAAATCAACATCAATCATAATATCATGTGAACATTGCGGAAAATTATTTTCATCAAAAAAGAATTTTCGTTCACATGTGACACATTCACATGCATCACTATTTGTATTGGATAAAAGTCCAAATGATGATACTGGACAAAGGTACTTTCAGCGAGGTCCTGGTGAACAGAGACTAACAGCATGGCTCCATTTTTCTTTAATTTTAGTTTTGCTACAGTACTTTTTTATTGTTTGTAGACGGAAACTAAAGGACATGTGTTTTAATTGTATGATGAAGTGTTAAGAGTATGAAGTTATTCTTTGTGTAGTCAAGAATCAACAATGAACTTGATTTTATAACTTACATAGAACTCGAGTAGGATAACTTATTTTGCTGGGTTATATACTTGTCTTACTTCAGCTTGGGATAGAGGCTACTACTTTTAATAGTATCGGAATATAGTTATTTCAAGCGAATTGAATAAAGTGTTTTCGAACTACTTCGTGACGGATAATTCGATGATTTTGATCGATATTTGCCTATAAAAGGTGTCGTTATTTGAACGAGTTAGTACATAAGTATGGTTTAAGACGTTAAGACGTCTTCAATTTGATATTTGATGTACACGGCACTGTTTTTGGAAATAAGAATCGAAGATTGATTAGTAGTACTTCAGATCGTTCATTTTTGTGTTTGTACTTGAGTGGTGTATGTTTCATTTAGTAAAATGCCTAAGTATCATCGTCTGTCGTTATGTAATGATGAACATATGCATATATGCGAAACAGTACTTGACGATTCATCCATGGCACATCGTTCACCGTTGATTATTAAACCAGTACAATCGACAGTAACAAATGATGTTGTTTCTTCTTCTGTGGTTGATAATAATAATTCATTTCCTCTGCTACATGCGTATACACGCTCAAAAACGATTTCATTGCCGCAAGAATGCTATACATCATCTGTGTTTGCAAATTTGAGACCGTCAAGGTGAACAAATAAAAACAAGAACAAGCTTCAGTTTGACATCTAAATATTAAAATACCTTGCTTTTTGACCGCCATCATTATACTAAAGCTTTTTTCGATACTCAATTATTCCAACTGCTTTTCCTTTTTTTTTCATCATTCAGTGACACTATAATCAGTTACTTATATAAGCTGGCGAACTATCTGAATATCAGTTATTTCATTATCAGAAGAAATAATAGCTTAATTTTGACATTTTTGATTGGTGAAATTTTCTAGTCGAGTTGTAGTTCGATAGCATGGTTGATATGTTAAAAATTGATTATTGCATGAAAAGCGAGATTTTTAAATAATCTATTGTGCATGAGAATTAGTTTGCATGTTCATCATCACTTAAGAATGTTATTTATTTTAAAAAAATTATTCTTTTTTAAATTTAGATTCGATGCAACCGCATCGTTAAAACGTACTAATACAACTTTAAGTTCCATTCAACCACAACGCTCAAGTCTCGATCAACAAAATATTTCGCCGTCAGTCGCCTACAGACAATCACAGCCACGTTATCAAAGTACCAGTATATCACCATCATCCGCTGTTTCACATTCCTTAAATCAATCAACACTTGTTCATACGAGAAAGCCCAGGTCTTACATAACACCAAATTCATCGTTGGTGAAAAGGTAAGATGTAATTCTATTCTTCCTTTAGCGAATAAAGTAATCAAAAATTCATTGCAAACAACTATTTTGTTCCTTATAACGCTTTTAATAATCACCTTGAATATTTGTTTGGTTTCGGCATCGGAGATCATCACAGGACATAGTGGGCCGCGTTCTGATATTTTTTTTCTCCAAAAGACCTGTAAAATTAAAAAATGACACTTACTCAACATCAAAGACGTCATTTTTTCTCAAAAATATCACTGAAGAAGATGGCTTGACCGAAAACTAGAACGATCATTTCAAAGCTTTAGTTTCAGAATGCTCATAAATGTTCTGATACTCAACTGACCATGAGATTCCAGAGACGGTCAGAAATGACGAATTGACTAAATAAAGAATAATAGAAAGGAAAATTAGTAAATTTTACGCTTCAATAAAACTTACATCTTACAGATGTATTGCCAATATCCTGTGTTTTTAATATTTCCTACGTTCTCGTAATAATCTGCACTATATGAACTGGTTGATTCAAGAACCGAATCAAAACAAATAGAGTTGAAATTGTACGAGTTGGTTCAAATATTTCACACTTTTTCTCTGGGTCAATAGCGTGAAAGTCGTGTACAGACCAGATCGGCACGATTTCTGTTGAATATCATGAAGATTTCTAAGTTAATTATGCCTTGTTTCATTTGATTTTAGCTCTATATATCCACTAAATCGTTACGGGAGTGCTGGCACTACAGCATTAGGAACATCAGACAGTGATAATCGTGATCCAATAACAGCAGCTATTTTAAAAGCATCATCACAATTAGCGCAAACACGCGGAAAATCTTTTCCACTTCCAACACACTCATATTATACGAGATCAAAATCAGTATGTATTTACTTTGTTTTTTAAAATACATCTATTTTGAACGTCTTAGATACATTGAGAAGGAAGAATAGAGTTTGATAATGAACGAACGCTAGGTACAGTAATTATATATCCGAATAGTTTTAGTTGTAATAATAGAATATGTACGAATAAATTTCTAACAATAATATTTTGTTTATTCTAGTCATATTCCAAATATTGAAGATAAAAATTACAGAAAATTGCACTATCGAGCCCACTTAGTTTATCATATATGAAAGCTAATGCAATTTTTGTATTCGCCTTTTAGCTTTTTTTTTTTATTTTGTCCTCTGCTTTTTTCCTTTTTAATGTAAAAACAAACAACGCTAAATTATGATGAGTTTCTCGTTGTGATTTTTTTTTAATTATGTGAAAAAGAAGATCCATGTTATATTTAGCTTAAGTTTTCTTTAAGCATCGAACACCGTCAAGTAAGAACAAGTATTCTATTGTTAGCTTTCATCGTATTCAAAAAATGATATCTTTTCTTTTTTGTATTCTTCTTCTTTTAAGAATCTTTGATTTATTGTTGATTTTTTTTATGCCGAGTTCGAATGTTTTTATTACCGATATATGAGAATTATTTATGTTCGTTTTGATAACATTATTTTTCTTGGAAGCAAATGACGACGACTATTTTTTGCATAATCTCTTTCTCTCTGACTTGTTGTTGTCGTTATTTTTTACTTTTTCGAGTAGAGTAAGTCGGACATTTTTCGACCTATTCATATTACTCACCATTTCGGCTGATATGACATGAAAGTCAGGATATTTTTTTTTTCCAAATTTTGAACTTTATTCTTTCTTGAACAAGTGAATAATCGACGAAAAAATAAAGTTTATTGTTTTTATTAGGAAAACAATATTATAGCGGAAGTCTTCTTGTACTATTTATTTGTTAAACGGTTAAATTTTTTCAGAATAGTTCTATATTCTATAAGAGTTTACATTGGAAAGTCTAATCATTCACGAAGCAGCTATAAGTTTTAGTTGAAAACTAAGCGCATGATTAAAAAAAGTTAAATTTAACAGATGTGGCGAATTTCATTTTGATTATTGACACATTTCTGAACAGATTTACAAAACTAGTTTTTCTAATTGTTAACTACCGTCTGAAGACAATTTGATTCTCATCTTGAATAACTGTTATTCCATCTACGATTTGAAAAGAATATCTCACAGTCAGTTTTCAAAAAAAGAAATAGACAATATGAGTCGAACCATATGTTACAATTTTCTTCTGTCAGAGAGTGAACAGTGACTATCATCTTTTCAGTAATTCTCTAAGAGTCACTGCACGAGAGCCACGACTATCAGTGCTCAATGATCACCTCAGATTTTTTTCAAAGTATGCTCATATTGTAGAGTAGATTGGATTACTTATAAATTCATATTTTTAGCTTTTCCGCACTTTTCCTTTAGGAATTATGAAGGCGACCAAGAAAGTGTTCCGAGAAAATACACGAGTAAAATTGAAAAACGCATTTCTTGGTGACAACAAGAGATTCAGTCCAGATTTTTTCATCATATATCCTAGACAATGTCCTGTATTCACTGACGGACTTAAAGTTCAAATACCCATACCAGAGACCTAAACGGCTGGGTTTCCCAAGTCACGCCCAAGGTTCGGTTTTCTTTTTATCCAACACGGCGCCTGGTTACGTAGAATTTTACGAGTGTATTTTTAGTGCTATCATCGATGGACTATGTAAATCTGAGATCAAAGTTTGAATCTCTCTAAGAAACTATCTAAGTTCTCTAGGAAACCCGAGAATTTTCTGAAAACATTGAGAATCACGTCATTCGGTAGAGCTCAAAATTCTGAGTAGGATGAAATATCTCGCAGCGCTATATTATTTTCGTTGAACTACAAAATTTACAAGAAGAGTCGAATATTTATTCAGCACAGTGAATGAGGATTTGCTAAACTCCAGACTTTTTAAAAAAATTCATAAATC